TTCACACTGCGGGTACAGGGACCACACTCTGCGGGTACAGGGTCCACACACCTGGGTACAGGTGTTCACACTGCGGGTATAGGGTCCACACACCCGGGTACAGGGTGTTCACACTGCGGGTACACGGGCCACACACACTTCATACCTTTTCCATATATCTGGGTAATGACTCATCACACTCTGGTACAAATAGACTCCCTGCACAACTGTTGCTACCATGGTCATGTGACATTCTTGTGAATATGTCTTTTCTCAGAAATGCCCTGGGTAATTGTACAATACTGTGTAGGGTTGGAATAATTACACAGCACTCAGTAATGTCCTGGGGTAATTAAACACAATAATGTCTTGGGGTAATTACACAATACACTATTAAGATCCTGGGTAATTACACAATACACAGTTATATCCCTGGGGGAATTAAACACAATAATGTCCTGGGGTCATCTCATAACACAACTATATGGCATCTCGGTTGAAATTTATAAAATGTTGAGAGATCATGATGGTGTAGATGTGAAGAGAATGTTTCCTGTTGTGGCAGAATCTAGAGCTAAAGGGGTCACTGTTTAAAATCAGGGGTCACCCATTTCTGACAAAGACTAGATGGCTCTTTTCTCTCAGAGGGTTGTTAGGTTTTGAAATTTACTTCCTGAAAAGAACATAGAAAATGAGTCTTTGAATTTGTTTAAGGCAAAGGTGAATAGATTCTTGTTCAGCAAGGGGTTGGAAGATTATTGGGATAGGCAGGAATGTGGATATGAGGTTACAATCAGATCAGCCATGACCTCATTAAATGTTGGTGCAGGGTGGATGGAAATGTATATGACACAGAATAGTGACAGGGAATCTGTACATAGCACATGTTAATGTCCCATATATCCAGATGTGGGGAAAATCATAGAATCATACAACCTAAGTTATGACACAATAAGGGCTGGCACTCAAATGGGCATGGTGGTGTTGTGAGAGGGCAATGTAGATTGTAAAGTAATGTAGGGGAGATGGTGATATAAGGGAGATGGTGATGTAGGGGAGATGGTGGTGCGGGGGAGATGGTGGTGTGGG